AGATTTGGTGCCACAAGCTACTACCACATCACCTTTCACGATCTTCCACGAACCTTTCCCAAACTCAGCGGCATATCCCGTGCTATCCAAATGACCAACAAAGATCAGATTTTTCTCGATCCCAAGAATATATCTGACATCCTCCAATGGCCTGGTTTCCCGATGTGGTCTTTATGCAAACATCCCCCCTTCCTTCATTCTCTAAGGCTTTATTGTCAGCAAGATATATTTTTTCAAAATTTCCAGATTTGAAATTTTAAAACAACTCCTTGCTTGGAGACGAATGGAAAGATGCAACAGAATCAAAAATCCATGATTCAACCGGGTTGTTTACACTAAGGATTAGAGCATCCTCAATGTCCTTTGCTGAATTTACAGAATCATTGTCATCTCCAAATTTCTAATTCTGTATCTTTTTTGGCTTTGTATTGTTCATCCGAAAGTGCCTTTTTTCTCCACAGTTCCAACAAGTCACGTTTGATCTGTTCAGGTATTTTCCTTTATTCTTTGACTTTGATCGACCATGTTGATTTTGGCCTTTCATCTTACTTCTCCCCCTTCGATGAACGCTGAGAGCACTGCACGATGAATCTCCCACTTCTCGTTTGTGAATACTTTCGCTAAGAACAACATCACGGATTTCATCAAACTTCAGTTTCTCAGATCCACGGGAACTGCTAATCGCAGCAATAACTGTATCCCTAACCTCGGGCAGAGATGACATTAAAATCAACGCGTTAATTTCATCTTCGAAATTAATGTCCACAGAATTGAGTTGACTCACAATCATATTGAACTCGTTTATATGATCAGAAACGGATCCATTCTAAGACATCTGTAAATTGAACAATCTACGCATCAAATATACCTTGTTCATAGACGATGGTTTTTCATACATGTTTGATTGTGCCTTCAACAGACCGGACGTAGTATTCTCCTTCACGATGTTGAACGCCACGTTTCTTGGCAAAGTCAACCAGATCAACCCTAGAGCCTGGCGATCCTTGAGTTTTCACTTCTTCTCCGTCATGGATTCCGGCTTCACCCAGGTCAACGGTTCGTGAAGATCTTTCTGGTACAGATAATCTTTTATCTGCATCTTCAAGAAACTAAAATCGGATCCATCAAACTTCTCGATTTCATGCTTCGAACTATCCATATTCTGTGATCGCGTTCACGTACACACACTAGATGAATAAAGGACACAAGAACTTTCAAAAGAAAAGAGATGAGAGATCTAGAGAGAGAACAAGAAAACTATTATATTTCATGGTAACACCCCGTGAGTAAACTTCCATGGCGGCGAGATATATTTATATTAATAAATCAGAGTATTTTTTGTTACAGAGAATAAATAGGAAAGCCTCAAATAGAGAATAAATAGGAAAGCCTAAAATTAATCAGGCTCCACAACCTAACAGGGAAGGGACTGATGTTGTTTGGTAGGTGTTTACAGGAAAACAAAAGGGGATCTGTGGGTTTGGAAGTGGTCTTTTTCCGAAAAAAGAGACCGAAGACTGTGCGGTTTTTGGGACTTGTTCGAGCCGGGTTGTGGTTAACATCGCTGGGGAAGACGATAGGGGGAAATGGAGGCTAGAAATGGGTTTTGGATCTGATTTTGAGCTCTGCGGAGACTGTTTTCAGCTTCTTTCTCTTTGTTGCAGGTGGGGTTTTCGAGTGGTTGTGGGGTCATTTTCGGTGACTTTTTTCACCGAAAAAGGAAGAAAACTGAAAGGCTTTTGGAGGTGTTTGTTGGCTGTAATTGTTCATTGAGAATGGGCTGATTTTGGAGATTTTTAGTGGTTTTGATAGGTGTTTAGAGTTGAATCTTTGGAGAAGAAGAGTGTGGTGGCTGCTCTATTTTGAGGTGGCTGTTCCAAGCTAGTTTCGCCGAAAAAGAGGAGGAGAAATGAATGAGGTTTTGGCTTGGGGCTGCTGGTAGTTTACATGTTGGGTTTTTTTTGGTAGGAAATCAGAGGTGTGGTGGCTGTTTGGTTGCTAGAAAATGGGGAAATGGAGATGATAAGTTGCTGGGGGTTCCAGTTCGAGTTTGGGGCTGTTGTTTGTAGTGTTGGACGGGTGGAGGATGGTGGTGAAGTTGTTTGGAGGTTGAAGCAGCTGGTTGTAATTTTGCTAGAGAAAATGGATCGTTTGGACAATGAAATTGAAGCGGCTTTGCGATGTGGACTGCCGGATTCCGGCAAAACTTTCGCCAAAAATATGGATACTCAAAGAAGTGTTCTTAACCCCTTAAAAATAAAAAATAAATTCCCCTAAACATTTTTTCCCCCCACCTCCTTGGACCTAATTATTTCTAAAATAGAAAATTGTTAGACAAGGGGCCTAGTCATGGGCTCAAGATTGAGACCCAAAAATATTGTCGATTGAAGATATTTGTATATGCAAATTATATCGTATTTTTAATGACTCTTTAAAGTGTGAAAATATCAAAATTAACAATAATTGATGTAAAAAATAAAAAATGAATATTAAAAAAATAAAGAACGTAACTAACGATATGTAAAAAAGTAATTTAAAAATTAACAAATAAAAAAATTAAATTTTAATAAATAAGCATAGTTGTAGATAAAATTATTTAAAATTATATTAAAAAAGTTATTTTACGCTATTAAATAAATAAAACTTAAAAATTACGAATTTTCAAAATGTTGGTCCAAAATTGGGTGTCAACGGTTGTCCCTTTCGTTGTGTATGACTAATGAATGAAATTGTGGACAACGAAAATTGACAAACCCAATTTTGACCGAACACATGACCTTTGTAGAGAAGTGCGGTTGAATATGGTGGAAGTCAATTCAAGACTTGTCTCCAAAAGGTTCTATGATGTGTTGCTTCCTTGTTGAAGTAGTTTGCACATGTGGTTTGTTTTTTTCTTTGGAAAATTGATCCTTTTGAATGCTCTTGACAAAGACTGAGATAAAACTCGTCAGCTGAAAAAATGCAATTTAAATGGGAGATAGTGTTTTTTGTTGTATCGACACTTAATTGCCTTCCTCAACATTTGACGTCAACTCGATCGGTTTGACGTAAAGCAAATAGAACTTATGTCTTATGTACGCAATGTATTCTTCATTTGATGTCAAAAATAAACAAAAAGAAGATGCACCGTTGATATTTTTTCATTGTTTTCGATGATTCTCTTGGCATTCACTTTTGCCAAATAAAGATGCAGTTGATGTTGAGGGGTAAATATTTCTCTGGGCATGGACAATTCCTTTTCTGGCAGTGCATGATTTCTTGCGGGGCATGAATATCATCCCGCGATGCGTAAATTTTGCGAGGGATGAAATCGTCTCGCGATGCATAAATTCCGCAAGATATGAAATCTTCTTGCGATGCATAAGTTTCAACGAGGTATGAAATCTTCTCCCAATGCATGAATATTGAATCTCGATGCATGATCTTTTGCGGGGCATGAAAATATTCCCACAAATGCATAAATTCTGCAAGGTATGAAATCTTCTTGTGATGCATAAATTTCTGTGAGGTATGAAATCTTCTCGCGATGCATGAATATTAACACGCGATGCATGAATATTAATTCGCAATGCATGAATTAACTCGTGATGCATGAACATTGACTCGCGATGCATGACATTCCGCAATGCATTAACTCGTGATGCATAATCTTCCGCGATGCATGAATATTGACTCTCGATGCATGATCTTGCTCGATGCCTGAATATTCACTCTTGATATATGATCTTCTGCGAGGCATGAATATCTTCCCACAATGCATAAATTCCGCAAGGTATGAAATCTTCTTGCGATGGATAAATTTTTGCTAGGTTTGAAATCTTCTCGTGGTGCATGCATATTAACTTGCGATGCATGAATATTAACTCGCAATGCATGAATATTAATTCACGATGCATGAATATTAACTCGTGATGCATGATCTTCACCAATGCATGAATATTAACTAGCGATGCATGATCTTCCACGATGCATGAATATTGACTCTCGATGCATGATCTTCTACGATACATGAATATTGACTCTGGATGCGTGATGTTTTGCGGGGCATGAATATCTTCCCGCAATTCATAAATTCTACAAGGTATGAAATCTTCTTGCAATGCATAAATTTCTGCGAGGTATGAAATCTTCTCTCGATGCATGAATATTAACTGCAATGCATGAATATTAACTCGTGATTCATGAATTAACTCGTGATGCATGAATTAACTTGCGATGCATGAATTTTTGCAAGGTATGAAATCTTCTCGCGATGCATGAATATTAACTCGCGATGCATGCTCTTCTGCGGGCCATGAATATCTTCCCGCAATGCATGAATATTAACTCGCGATGCATGAATATTAACTCGCACTGCATGAATTAACTCGTGATTCATGAATATTAATTCGCGGTGCATGATCTTTGAAGTTGCTATCAAGCTTCTGGCAGTTCTTATCAGAATTTTGAGGTCTTCCTCAAAAATTTTGTCCCAGTTAGAATTTTTGCAGATCTCAAAAAGATCTTTAATATTGACTTGTTGGCGATAACACCTCTATTATGAGTCTTTGAGATATTTTTAAAAATTCTGTCTCAATTTTTATTGTAATGAGAAATAATAATCACACTCGATATATGAGCGATCCGTCGTGGCGCCTACATATTCTGTTGAGGCAGGTTTAAGGTCAAATGTAGTTCCAATCTTGTGGATGATAAGTAGTGCGAAAAATCTAAAAGATTATCAGTAGAAATGCACAATATGAACATGATGATATATTAAGATGGTATTTCTTGCTATATTCAAAGCATAAAAACAAGATATATCACATTTTTGGGGTGGACAATCCAATAAAGCAAAATAGGCGTCTTACACATATAAGATTAACTTAATAACACCTTTTGTACTGAACAACTCAAAAATTAATTTTTTTAAAAATAAAAAATGTGAAGAGATTGTCAAAGTTTCACCACGATTGATAACAATAGTTAGGATTGCAGGTAAATCTCTCATTCCCTTTCTATTTTTTTTCTAATTAAGATTGAATTCAAGGTAATTCCTACAGATTCAAGTGGCACCTCAAACATACTTACGGATCAACGAGATTTGTTCATCTTACTTCAAACACAGCTTTTGAATTGTATCAATCCTGATGTTTCAAGTGCCCTCACGGAAAAGATTGTTCCTATTTCACAAATATTTGAAACTTCTGATTTTAGGATATTTTTCAAAGTGCACTCACACACAGAAAAATATTCAACGCATACCACTGTGATACCATATGCTTGACCATTATGTAAATCTCCACTAATGTGAGAACATTTGGAATGAGATCATGTAGGGCTTGTAATTGGCTTGTAACATAGGTTCGTGGCTGGGTAGGATATTTATTTGGGATAAAAGTGTATTAATTCTTCCTTGAGTGTTACATTGAATTTGTGCTCTTAATAATTGGTACGCCTTTGACGTCAGATCCTCTTCATTGTTCTCCCACCTTTCATCTTCTATTGAATTCTCAGTTTTTGGAGTTTTTTCCTTCTTTCTCTTCTTTTTTCATCCTCTTTGATTCGACTTTTTTTGAGTTCTCATTTTTTGGAGTTTTTCTCTTCTTTTTTTCTGAGTCCTTATTTCTTGGAGCTTTTTTTTTATTCACTTCTTTATTATAATAATTTTTCCTTTTTTTTTTGGAGTATATTCCTTCCCACCTTTCATTGACCCTGTAAGGGTATTTTTTTTTACCATTCTTTATTTCTTCCACCCTTTTTTTTCTTCCTGTCTCTCTTTTTCTCTAGAGTCTTTGCTTTGTTGATTTTGAGAGACTCAATATATTTGATTATTGAAATTTCATACATGGATCACCTCTTGTAACTTGCACATCTTGGTGCACTCAGGAAGGTTGGGCCAAGAGAGGATAGTACTTGTAAGCACTCAAAAGGGTAGTGGTTAAGATATGGTTGTCCAAAGAAAGGTTTCAGGCTCAAAATGAAAAAACTAGGGATTAATGTAATTTGGTAGGCTTTGAAAGGGACAATCGGGGCAAAAAGGGCCCACAATCCTTTCTCAAACAAAACATTGCTCAGGATTTTGCCTCGAAAAACATTCAAGGCAAGTTCTAGATCAACAGTGTAACATAACTCAAATTTGATCAAAATCTCACCACACAATGCACATGAAACACAAGGTTAGTTTTATTCTTATCTTGATTGCATGCAAGAGAATTTTCTAGCATCACAAAAGTACATATTAGAGGTACCAGGAGAATCTATAGTTTACGCAAAGTCAGTTTTATTCTTATCTTGATTGCATGCAAGAGAATTTTCAAGCATTACAAAAGTACATATAAGAGGTACCAGGAGAATCTATAGTTTACGCAAAGTCAGTGTTTTCCATCTTATAAAATATATTTACATGCTCTTAACTACATCAGTCCCGACCGAGCTGAAGACATGACTCTTATAGTATGTACAAGTAATTTTTTTTTTTTTTTTTGGAAAGAATGATTACCAAACCCGAGAAAGGCTGCCTACATATCTCATTCAAATGAGAATCAGGTGCGCATGGTTCATGTAGATATAACTTTGAAAATATTAACAAACTATTTTATTTTTACTTTTTTTTATATACTCTTGAAAAAATAATACCGAACCGAAGAAGGGTTGCCTATGTATCTCACCGAAATGAGAATCAGGTTCGCATAGTTTGTTCAGATAAGGCATATAAGAATTTAAAGATTTAGACATCCGTTTTTTGTGTGCACAAATATGTTTTATAGCCTCTTAACCGTCAATATTTATACTGTATGTTGAATGTAACCTATGAATTTCTACAGTAATGAATTGTTGTACTCTTTTTTGATGTTTTATTGGACCTTTGTCTCTTCCCAATAATCACGAGATCCAGACATTGTTATGACCATCCCTGACCGATTTCGGGGACGATATTCCTACAAAAATATAAAAAATATGTGAGAGCTGAAATATCATGCAAAATAATAATAAAAATAACTGGATGCGACGTCATAGTCAAATACTCTTCTGATTTATCGTTTTGACTTGATAGTAATGTCTTGTAAAATAGAAGGACTCGAATTTCGCTAATCCTCTTGTCTCTTGCTACATCAGACAAATAATATTTTTTTGAATTCAAACATAAATCAATTTTACGCTGTGAAGAAGAACAACTCAGAATGTAAAAGTGTTAGGTCCTGTACTAAATGGATAATGCAAAATATCACACAAATAATGAATAAAACACATAAATACTATTTTAATTAAAGACGAACTGAAATAAATCACATAGCACACAAACAATTATTGCGCGTCCTATACAAATATGTGGCCTATCAAATTGAAGGATGTATTACGCCCTTTGACAAATTACCTTTGTCTCCCAAAACACATAGTACAATTTTATGAATAAATGAAATAGTATTATGAAGTTAGGGGGAAAAGAAAGAAGGAAAAAATTACAAATATTCAATCCCACGTAGGTGTACCATCCTTATAAGCCTTTACGGAAGGGTGTTCCTCTTGAAATTCTTGTCATCTCCAATTGCCAATACTTTTGGATGGAATGATAGTTTATGAAAATCCGAGCTTTACAAAAGTAAACTATTAAAATAACTTTCTAATTCAGATGGACAATGATTTGTCAAACGACATTACATCCTTTAAATTACACACAATTATGATCCTCCTTTTAGGCTAGATTCCATTATGGACACAAGGTGATCTTTCTAATGGATTCAACACGCCTTGGATGGTGGGTCATTAGGTTGATGCTTAAATTTGGATTTTGCCTGGCTCTATTAGTTTACTTGAGTGGGTTGTATTTAGAGTGGAAAAGGTAACCAAAACAAACTACTTGGGCTGGGACAATTAACGATCGTTGACTATCAAGTAGCCAACTACACTCGTCAGGGTGCCCCGAGAAAATTTTGGTTAATGAACAACTGTGAGCCCGCATAATCGTCCTTTAGTGGAAATGAAATAATTGTCATTTGACGGTAATATTATGCCATGAATGCAATGATAATATACACACAATAAAATAAATAATAAACAAATAATCAGCAAAATATAAAAATACAAGGTATAACATAATAATAAAACAAGTTTTTCCTCAAATATTCCCCAGCGCAGTCGTCATTCTGTTTACATCCCCATTCTATCAAAATAAGGCGAAACGTCGCTGCGACTCAAAAAATATTAAATTGAATCAATTTTAATGAATTTTAAAAATGAACGAGTTTTAAAAAGAGTTGCCACCTAATTTTAGGGAAAAAACTAGAAAACCATTAAATGATCTATGAAACCAATTTGATTCGAGGTAAGGAGTTCAAATTATTCCAAAGGGAAGGGGTTAGGCATCCTTCGAAATCCACAAATGTTAGTCGCGACTGAATTCAATTTTTTTTTTAAATAGAGGAAGAATATAAAATAATGTACAAGTATAATAATAAACATTCAATATGCACAAATAAAAAAATAAAAAATATAAGAAACAACCTAAATTTTGCTTAAAGTGAATATATACAAAAAAATGAATAAAAAGTATGATTCGAATTACAATCGAATAATTTCAAGGAGGAGCACCTCCGGGTACTTATAAAGACACTTAGTAAAAGAGTTAGTACCAAACAAATATAAACAAAAATGAATAACTCAAATAATAACTTAAAAATCAAAATCCGTCTTATTAACATGGTTGGCCTTGGAAATCTACGGTAATATCTTCATTGGCCAATTTATCAAATAAACATGAATGAACTTAAATTAGATTTCTGTCTTTTAAAATGGAAAGGCCTCCTAACCGGACGGATAGATTTTTCATTGGCCAATTTAACAAAATAACATGTATGAACTTAAATTAGATTTGCGTCTTTTAAAATTGAAAGGTCTCTAAACCCGATGAATAGATTTTTCATTGATCAATTTAACAAATAAACATGTATGAACTTAAATTAGATTTCTGTCTTTTAAAATAAAAAGGACTCTAAACCCGATGGGTAAATTTTTCATTGGCCAATTTAACAAATAAACATGTATGAACTTAATTCAGATTTCCGTCTTTGAAAATGGAAAGGCCTCTAAACCCGACAGAAAGATATTTCATTGGCCATTTAATCAAATAAATTTTAACGATTAAAAATAAAATAACATAACTAAATACAAAAATGAGAGGCATGATATAAAAACAATAGAATGTAAGAATAAACCAAATGAACACAATCATTAATAATGGATAAAAAAGTAAGCAAGAGAATTCTAGCAATGAAATGGATTAAAAATAAATAAGTAAAAAATATACATAACTATAGCAACATAAAGCTTCATCCAAACAAATTTTAATAATTATAGTAATTAAAAAACACAAATGAGACAATGCACAACAAAATTTAGTAATAAGCAAATGATAACATTCTTCGTTCAAAATTCTTTAAAAAGAAAAGAAATGCAAACTATCAGTGAATAAATTAAAACCACTACATATATAGTATAATATATACTAATAAGAACAAAAATAAATCCAATTCAAAGAAAGAAAAATACGAAAAACAACATGCAATCCAAATGTCTAAATAAAATCAACCTAGCGGACAATCACAAACCCATATTCACAGAAACATCTTAACACAATCAAACAAAGATCACAAACTTGAAAAGAACTTAATCCAAACTATAACATAACAACAACCCGACAATAAACAAGAAAACGGAGCAAGTTACTCCATTCAACATTAATAATATAAAACCAAGACAAAATAAAGGTAAAAGAATAAAATGCTACCTGAAAAGAGAAAGGAAGTTGTAGGAAAAAGCTGAGTCGTTGTTTTCACGAGTTGTTGACTCGCCGGTGGTGGAGCTGCTGCCTACTGGAGCTTTCAGAGTCACTCTGGACGACCGAATACCTGCAAAAATAAATGAAAAATTGTGAAAGAGATGAGGGAAAGGGATTGATGTTGTTTGGTGGGTGTTTGCTGGAAAACAAGAAAGGATTTGTGGGTTTCTTTGTGGTCTGGAAGGTGGTGTTTTTCCGGAAAAAGAGATCGAAGACTGTGGGGATTTTGGATCTAGTTTGAGCTGGGTTGTGGTTAGCTTCACTGGGGAAGCCGATGCGGGGGGGATGGAGGTTTTTGATCTGATTTTGAGCTTTGCGGAGACTGTTTTCTGCTTGTTTCTCTTTGTTTCAGTTGGGGTTTTCAAGTGGTTGTGGGGTTGTTTTCGGTATCTTTTTTCACCGATAAAGGAAGAAAAAAGAAAGGCTTTTGGAGGTGTTTGTTGGTTGTAATTGTTTATTGAGAATGGGCAGATTTTTGGAGGGTTTTACTGTTTTTTATGGGTGTTCAGAGTTGAATCTTTGGAGAAGAAAAGTGTGGTGGCTGCTCTATTTTGAGGTTGATTTTCCAAGCTAGTTACGCCGAAAAAGAGGAGGAGAAATGGATGAATATTAAAAATCATAATGAACGTAACTAACGATATGTAAAACGTAATTTAAAAATTAACAAATAAATAATTTTTAAATTTTAATAAATAATGATAGTTATTGATAAACTTATTTAAACTTAAATTAAAAAAATTATTTTAAGCTACTAAAAAAATAAAACTTCAAAATTATGAATTTTTAAAATGTTAGGCCAAAATTGGATGTTAACAGCTGACAAATCAAAACTTTCGATCCAACCAACATCCTTAATAGTTGTATTAAAACAAAGAGTATAAATACAGAATTTAGCCTAATGTTTCATCACTTCTAAGTACAGTTTTACCATATATCATCATTCCTTATAGTCATTGGAGAGGAGTTTCCCTCTATGATGTAGGATATATAAATTTTTTTAGACTCATCAATGTTCAACTCCGTCACAATGGTTGAAATTATATTCATATAGGAAATATTTTCACCAACCACTATCCCATCACTCATGTATCTTTTATATCTAACCTCACTCTCTCATACTCATGAATGCCAATTGAGATATTCATTATGTATCTGATCAAATTTACAACAAAAATTTTGATCTTTCTTGAAAGTTTCTTCGTTTAAACAGGGAACTGAACGAACAAGATTTGAATTATCAAATTCTTAGTTTGTTTGATATTTTAGGAATCACATTTCTGTGATTGACAATAAAAATGAAAGTAATTAATTTACGGGAGCTTCAACTTACATATCCGGATTGTGTAACTTTCTCAAGGATTAATGTAATAAAAAAATAAATATAAATATGATGTAATTTCATCTTAAAACTATGGGATTGCAAAACTTTATACTACAAAGATATTGAAATTTGTAGGCCTTTTTCTTCACGTGTCTGGATGGGATCTGGGGCCTTATTTATGATCGTAAATACATGTAGGGCTTTTAGATAGAAGAAAGCCTATTTACATTCTCAACCTCATTTTTCTTCTTCCTCACGTAGATTGAATTAATTTGTTTCTTCTTTTGTAAATTCTTAATCTGTGTTTCACCAAGCTAAGCTTTGACCTAATCATTAACAATTTAAACAAATGCTCCAAATAGCTCATAAAGATGCAGAATTATGCTAGACAAATGTTTAGGGACATGTAAACAAGTTTTGGGGGCCTACATAAATATAATAACTATAATATACTCAATATAATAACATAAGTAAAGTATCCATAAAGTAGGATGAACACAAACCTTAAGGAGTAAGAATGTTAACAATGAAAATATTCAATGAAAAATAGTTGCGATGAATTTGGTAAGTTGATATAATGGTGTCAAAATAGTATGGCCTCATTTGTTGCAACCTTTTAATTTAAAGAATACCAAAAAAAAACAAGTTTTATTTTTCTATGAACACAACAATAGATTTTGTAAGAGCAAAAAAGTTTGGCCGTTTGTTAGACTTTAGAATGTTCAACAATGCTAGAATAAAAATAGGAGGGAAATAAAAAAAAATTAAGAACAATAATGTATTATTAATAATCACCAAGATATAAATAAGTCAAAAAATAGATAGCCACATAAGAAAGGATACTACGGTTATCTAAACACTTTTCCATTTCTCAATTATTAAAAATGACTTCCACAATAAAAAAAAATACATAGTTACTGTTATATTTTCTAAAAAAAAGAATTTCTTTGAGATTTATCAAACCATGATGCATGTGTGTGTATATATATACACATACATACATACATACTTGAGTTGTCTACACAAAGAATGATGCCCTTCTCTCACAAACCATAATCTTGGGGATCACAACGAACACTCAATCTCTCAAATAGAATAACATGTATATATCAACCATAAGCTCCCTATATTTTTTAAATGATGAGTGATCTAGTTTTTTGGGATCAAAATGGTCTTTCACTGGGTTTGTTCCTCTATATACAATGACTTCAACTAAGTTCAGAGAGTTAAAAAAGAAGTTAAAAAATATCATTAATAAGGGTTCACTGGAACAAGGTTATCCCCTTGGGGTGCTGTAGTTCTTTTTCGTTCAAAGGAAAGATTTTCATGACCTAGATTGTCGTGATTGACACCCACACTAACACTCCGGTGGAATAAACAATACTCCAATCCGACTAAGTAACTTAACAAAAAAACTAAGCATTTTAAGATATATCAGCAAGTTTAAATGATAGAATAACATGGAGTTACCATAAACTCCGAAAGCTTAAATAAACAACTAAACATAAAGTCTGAGTTCGATGTCTAAGAAAATGGGGTGCAGCCCCAAAATTGACATAACAATAAGTCTAACTATAAATTCTGATTTCGAAAGTAATGGACTAAACAATAGAGGACCCATGGTAACGTGTAAGAATTGGCTCAACCGTGAATTCAGTCTCGATCATTGATCTCCCATCTAAGGTCTGGGAGTAGCCTCTTTAAGATACCGAGTATTCAACAAATAATGAGCCAGTGAAGTATCATTACACAACTACAATTTGCTAGTAGGTTCCTGCATCTACTCTAGTAAGAAAAATGTAAACATGAAATTACAACACAGTCAACACAAATATCTGGAATGCATATTTTAGTCATCATTTCAAAGAAACAAACAATCTCCCCATATCAATGAGAACTATACATAAAGATAATAATCAGAAGTGGTTTTCTCATGTAACCTATACCCTAACTATTAGTTTTGAGGAATATGATACCTGATCTAATGTATATGTCAAAACGTGACACCTAGTCCAATATGTGTCGAAACATGAGACCAATCCAATGCTATGTCAATGTGTGATACCCATCAAATTAGATCAACCACAATCAGAACCACACCATAATGAATAGTTCATATATTCACGTGGTCAAGTAGTAGTTTCATTGTATGTAGTTGCTCACACTTACTCTTTTCATTAGGGTCGATTTACATTTTACCATTCATATATATGTATGCATTAATGAAGCAATAAACCGGCATATATCAAACAAACAGAAAATAGAACCATCACTTACCTTGAAACGAAGCTTGAATCCTCCAAAGACACTTGAGCCTACCCTTTTGATGATTATTTCCGCTTGTTCTTGGTCAAAGCACAACTAATTAAACGCAAGGATCAATAAACAAGGACTACTTTACCCGGATTATAATCATACTATCAGTCCAAGGACAAAACTAAGATCTTAATACTCAACGAGAGTTTTTCGCAACATCAACTTCAGGCCAAAACCCTCCCCCATTTATGATTACACAAGATTCTAAGTACTAAGAATCTAAACACGTATTAATGGAGTAATTATCTTACCTTTAGCGCTAGAAATTGTGGAAACTGTTAAGAAATTCTAGGGTCGTATCTTAGCTCTCAAGAACAAAAATTTTTAAGTAACAATTTTGGGGTTTTGCCAGCTGGACTGCCACGAAAGATCCCAACCCTCCACCGCAAGATTATTTTGGGGTCTTGTCGACTAGCCCGCCACGAGAGATCCCAACCTACAACAGCAACCCTTCCATTGAAGGATTAATCCTGGCCCAATGGCCTGCATGTATATTTATTACATAGTAGTTGTTTCAATTTATTACATATACAAAATGTGAGAGAATTGGATGAGCTTCCATTTTATGAGTTCATAGTTTACACCTAGCACAAAAAGCTCGTATGCCTCATATAGTGATTTGGTTATATCTTCATTTTGCGGATCTAGCTATAACCATGTTCTGTGCAATTTAAGTGATGGAGAAAAAATCTTCATGATGATTGCATAAATCTAGGCATGGAATCAAAGGTTATCATTGGCAGTCAATACTTACCCTATCTTACAGAAGGACTCATGCGTTTCCTTGTCAAAATCGGTAAAAATCTGGATCTGCACATTCAAATGTTTTCCACTCAGCCCTATCAAAAGGGCCTATATCTAAAGGAAGATCAACACTTCCTTTTCCAATGCCGGGCTCAATCTCTATGTTCTTCAAGCTCTTTTTAGAGGACAAATGTCGCACCTCGGACTCCTTTGTAGGAGAGGGATATCAAAAATCCTTAAATCTCTTAGAAAAGTCATTTCTTCATCGCTTAGATAATTGACAAGTTTTATACGACACTGATTTCAGTAGTTTCTCTCAATGTCTGAATTAGTAGGACCCACGAGGATAAGTAATTTTTCTCAATTCTTCAAAAATTCAATTTGATTGAATTTGATAAGTAGGAGTCATAATGATAAATTTTAAACTTTATTTCTTTCTATTTGATGATTACATGTCAGAAGTATAAATTTGTCAATTTAAATTCTTGTGATATTTTGTGAAGTATTTAATCTGATGAGGTAATAGAGAAAAATTTTAAAACTAGATGAAGCACGAAGATGGAATTCAAACTGGCGCACTTTAGCAGTGATTCTTAGGGCTCTTCATTGTGCATTCTGCATTGAGAGTGCTTCCCGATGACTCGTCGCCACCAAACTATTGAAAGACAAATATCAAAAATAGTTACCCTTCTACTAGTGAAGCACAAACACAGAATCTACTTACATTGGGGATCTTCTTACCTATAATTTTTTTTTACGATTGTAGAGAATATTTACTGTAGTAGTGTGGAATATGAAGTTCATTTTGAGAATGCAAATGGGAAGGAGACTCCGAAGAGGCGACTCCATTTTTCTAATGTTGAAATGCCTAAATAACCTACTCCAATGGGAGATTCTGATAAAGGCAACCACAACAATGGTAAGACCTTGAAATCCATTCCTCCTATGCTTAAGGAGGGCATTATTACTGTGAAAATTGAGAAGGAGGACACTAGACTAAAAATCAAGGATTGGGAAACAACATTAGTTGGCTATTTATTTGGATATAACCGTATGAATTGCCAATTCTAGAGTATGTCAAGAAGGCATGGAGTTTTCTTGAGCTTCTCCAAACATTATATCATGATAATGGATACTACGTTTTTAAATTTTATAATATAGCTAAAAAAGAGAAAGTGATTCAGATTTGAGACAAGCTATGATTTTGAGGAATAGGGATGAATTGGATGCTAATATGTTTAGCAAAATTCCAATTTAGGTAAAATTCTCCTATTTACCTATTGGATACAGGTCTGTCACGACATTAAGAAAGGTTGCATG